TGTTTCAGTATCTGTTTCAGCAATAACATACAAGAATTTTAATACAAGAATTCTTAAGTTGTTATTTCGTACACAATTTATTAATTCACGTGCTTTTATTTATGATCTGCGATCACATCATCATCGACACATTTTTTAATAAAATAAGCAATGATTAAATATTTTACAAATCAATATCAATTTTAACACCGACATTGATAATTGATATTTTATCAGTCGGTATCGGTATCTGTGCCAGTATCTGTGTCGGTATCGGTATCGGTATCAGTATCGATATCTGTGTTCGTTAAGTAGTACACTAACTCGAACAACAACAACAATTACAATATTTCTTGTTAATTAAATTAAAATATGTAAAAAATGAATATAAAAACATTCATTCAGCTCCAGCTCCCTTTTGATATCAAATCAAAGCAGTTAATTTAGTATTATTAGCCTTTATTAGCCTTTATTTATTCAATATGATTATGAAGTATATTTTTTTTCTCAATTCACATATATTTTTATTGTATTTGCTTTTTGCTTTCTGCTTTTTGCTTTTTGCTTTTATTATTAAAAATATATACTAATGTACTTTTTTCGGTATCACTTAATTATGGTATCTCATTGATAAACTCTCATTCAGTAAGAGCCAAAATGTTGGGGTAGTATTCAGTTCTGTAACTAGTTTGCATCGGTTTCGACAAAGCGGTAGACCGTTTTTGTTCTTTTCTTTTAATAGAATTTGTTTTATATCAACTAAATTTAAAAAAAAATTAATTGTTTTTTGTATTTGTGCTGGAAAATTATATGTTTGTTTGGCCTACTTTTGAATACAGTGTTTTAGATAAAGTTTTTCTAGAAAAAGGTGTCCTTTTTCTGATATTTATAAGCCTTTTAATCCTGTTTTTGTGAATTATTTTAAAACTAATTTTTAACAAGAATTTTTATAATTTTAAGAATAAAATCAGTCAATCGATATATATTTTAAATTAAATTTAATTAAGTGTTTAATTCAGTTCATAAAAATTGTTTATGTTAACACATAATTAAATTTAATTTAATTTAGTGTTTAATTAAGTTCATAAAAATTAATAATAATACATAAATTATGAAAAATTAAACGAATTTCATATTGCATTTAATATTAGATCATGATCAAATATTAAATCTCAGATGTACATATACTTCTCGCTAGAAAGAGTTTGATCACTAATATTTTTGTTAAATATTACTGAAAATTACGTTAAACAGAAAGAATAGTATTGAAATTTAACAATTAAAAATAAGAATCTAATTAATTAATTCAATTATTCTACCGCTGGTATATGATTTCGTACTAATATAAACACAGCAAGTGAATTTGTTAATAAAACTTTCATAGCAAATTAACAAAACTCCAGAAAAATGTGCGAACATAAAAGTGAAGTACGGCTTTGTGTCAGTTGACTAATGAGCGCTGACCCAGAACTTCAAATTTGGCAGGGTACGAGTTCGATTCCTTATTTACGAATAATTAAATACAAGAATTATTTTCAAGATCACTGATGATGGGTTTTTGGCAATACACATCCAGCTGTATGGTCAGCCAAAAATTCAATTAATTAAAATAATATGAAAAAGAATTTTTGTTGTTGTAGTTCGCTACAAAACTTCGAAAAACCTCTTTGTTAAACAAAATAGTTTAAAATACATTATAAATATTTTGCAATCGGTGTTAAGAACGGAATATTATATTTATTGAAAAATCAATTAATTTGGAATATACATTCCAAATTAAAATCAATTAATATTTTATTGAAATATTTTTCCAATATTTCAACTATCTTCGATAGTCATCTTCAGGGAAACTGGAATATTACCAAAAAGATAATAGTATCAAATTTCAAATCACAAAGATCCTCTGATGACTTTTTTCATAAATATTTAGTAAAATTTTTAAAATGTGACAACATTAAATAAGGACTAATTATATAATTATATATAATTAATGTAATTGAAATAGAAAATATACCCATATTCTCCATACTTTAATGTTTCGTTTTTCCTAAGTAAAAATTGCTTTGTTTGTTATTAGTGAAGTTTTTAAAATTCCACTCAAATGGAAAAGTATTTAAAATAATTAAGTTTGTGACACCTTAAAAGATCCTTAAGCTTTTAAATGTATTTAAAATTTAATTGATAACTTAATTGCTCTTAAATTGAATTTCTATATATAATATAAAAGTTTTTTGATGAGAATGTTTAATATTTAAAATATTTCTTCATCTGAACCAATTCTTTATATTCTTTAGAATGTTATTATCATATCTTTCAATTGCGCAATCTACACGTATCCTATAAGGAAAAGATATATTTTTATTTAATATCTGTCATTTAGTTAGCATAATTCATAATAATATTTTACTCGCTTGTCATCTTCATGAATTGATAGGAAGAACTTCGGTGCAAATACTTTAAGAACACATTTGTTCATGAATTGATAGGAAGAACTTCGGTGCAAATATTTTAAGAACACATTTGTTCCGTTTTAGCATCGCCAATTCTGTGCAAAAACACTGAATTTTCGATACCCGTATTAAAAATTGGCTATAAAAGTATTTTAAATGACCAAACTACACACACTGAAAAGAAAGAATTTAGCTTTCTCTCCATGTAGATGATGATATAGTGTAACAAATTTGCTATATATATATTCATATATATGTATATGCTATGATGTTACTGTTGACTAATGACCATGTTATCATTAGATATATAACTGCATTTTTTTTCTTGGAACTAGTAACTGAAATTACTTGTATATACAAGTCATTGATTCACAATGAAATATAAAGAAATGTATATATGTACATATGTATATATATATTTTTAACGTCAACTTAGAGTTTATATTTATATTTAATTATTTTAAATTTTAAGCTATTAAGCAAAATACATAAAAAAAAAGAATTTTATATGCCATTTATTCTAAATAGTCCGTTTGGAATGATCACAAAAAACCGAAGTGTTTTTTAAATTAAATTTAAAGTTTGATATGTGAAAATTGATATAATAAAATAAATGCTTTCGAAAAAAATTTTAATAATGAAATTTATAGATTGCATCTACTGTACAATGAGATAAATAAAATTATAACATTGTACAAAAAAAATTATTTTCAAGATATACTTAAATTAATAAACTTAATAAAAAGCATCAGAAAATAAAAGAATTTAATTTTTTTAAAAAATCATTTTTAAAATAATAAAAAGTACGATTATTTATTTATTCGATTTGACGAATATCAATACAAATAACTAATGTGTTGATTTATTGTATGTAATTAGAAATGTTTTGTAATTATACCCAATGCATTCTGATTTAATATAATTATGAGGAGAGCTTAGCTGTGCCTAAACTTCTTCAATAGAAAATAAGTTACGAGTTACATTTAGTGTTACAATTAATATATTTTAATATAATAAATCTTAAAATTTATTAATGAAACTTAAAAAATTCAAAGATGTTTTTAGTACTATTTAAACCTCATACCAGAATAAAAGAAAACGTTTTCAATTATCCATTATTCTCCATAATGCTTTCTTGAAAAAATTTCTAAATTTTTATCTATGACACTTTTTTGTTGATTGTGCAGATAAATTTTTATAATTGTCGACAGATAAAACAACGTAGTTTGGCAATTTTGCTGAAATTACTTTATGTACAATAAGAAAAGAAGAATTTGTACAGTCATTAAAAGATGCTCTAGCTAAATAAGGTCGTAAATATCTCTCTTGAGCAATTTTTTATATGAAAGCATAATAAAAGTTGAATTGATATGCTAGCTCTGATTTAAATAACAGTGTTTGCGAAAATTAAAAAACATATATATATACTATATATCTGAAAATGTTTACATTTTTAAAATATATATTATTTATTTAACCATTTTTGGTTGTTTCTGCTTTATGTGAATTGAAAAAGTAAAATCTGTCTGATATCCTACAGTATTACTCGCGTTCAGAAATATTTAAACGAAATTAAAACACAAGCAAAAGGGTACTGAACTGACAACACAAAGCCAATGGAAATATGTGGCTCAACCTAGTAAGTTCAATCTTTATGAATGTCCTAAACTTCTGCTAATTATGTAACTACATCTAAAATGTCAGCAGCAATCAATTGGACATTCAAAAAAGATTTATATAGGTAAGATAACTAAGCTTTTGGTTCTCCTAACAAAATTTGAAAATATTTAAACATCTCTCTCTCTCTCTCTCTCTCTCTCTCTCTCTCTCTCTCTCTCTCTCTCTCTCTCTCTCTCTCTCTCTCTCTCTCTCTTTCTCTCTGAACGAAAATAAAATATTTAACACCAATATTAAAGTCCCACTTTTATTCGGAATTAAGAAGAAGAAATTGTGATCGTTCACAACGATCAACACTTGCAAGGTTTTGTTAACCGCATACAGAATATTCTGAACATATGTTGTAAATAACAAAAAAGTGTTTAAATATTAATCCAGAAATATAAGAAGTTTAATCACACTGTAACCAGGTCTACTGAAAATATGGTCAGAAAATTTTACATGAATCCAGAAGATGTCAGCTTTTACGCAACAAGTAATAGAGATAAGTAAAAGCAGAGATGCAGTGATATATAATAGAAGATAAAATATTATCTTCAATAGAATTTATTTGGTATGGTGTTATGCTCCTTATAAGAAAAATACACATATGACTAAGTAATTCTGTAGTCTATTTTTTCTGTGACTAATTATTCTGTAGTCTAGATGTACTCCAATATATTTAAAAATATTTTTTTATTAATGAACTTATTTACATACTTTAGTATATTTATCGCTTTGATAAAATTTGTTGTCCTTCTCTCCTAGTGGAGCATAAGGCTCGCATTTTTTTGGGATACGTGGAAAATAGTAAATTGCAAATATTGAGATGAATATTATGAATATTAAATTAAAATAAAAATAATATTAATATATTGCACTTATTAATTAAAATATTACTTTCTATCTTTGCAGAAATTTTTACGTACTTAGTTTCCAAAAAAGTTTGTTTGCGAATACCAAACTGAACTAAAAATTGAAAGTTAGAAAAAAAAAATAAACTAAATTCAATGAAAAAGTAAATTACCATAGGCGTTGAGAACACCTATGTATGTCAACTAAAATATTTTCAACCAATGAGTAAACTATAGTGATACTAAAATAAATCGCCAACCCATCCATTTTTCGCTGTTAAACCCAAACAAATGATCGGCTATTATGTTATTAAATGCAATCAATAAATGCTCCAATACTCAAAATGTGTCTCTGAAGTTTGATCGAGGAGCACGGGAAAGCCCAGCATCAACACGAAAACTCAACAGCTTTAAAACATATTTAAATCTTAAATATTTGTACAGATCAAGCGAAAATTACACATTGGGAAATATGGCGAAAATAACTAATAAGTTGGAGACTCCGGCGAGTGCGACGCATTCGCTGCAGCAAGAGATGAACTTGGCACGCCGTGCGTGTTGGTGCAATATACGAGACGAGTCAAAATCGTCCCCGAATTCTCCTTTAACTACGACTGCAACTGCAACTGCAACTGCAACTTTAATTACGGACAAAAATGCACAAACGAAAAAAAGCTGTGAAATATGTGAAAATTGTTTTAATCATTTAACCAATAATGACGTTATCTTCGACACTAATGACGACGCTACTGCAGCAGATTTAAATGCGTTTCCAGCTGCAGCTGCAGAAATTACAAAAGCTGCTGTTGTTGAACGTGCAACTAATTATAATAATAATAATAAAAATAATAAAAATAATAAAAATAAAATTCATACTCGTATTGTCAACATTGCTAACGAGAACAACCGCAAAACATTAATAGTGTATGATCGTGATAATGATAATGGCCATCATAATGATGACTACTACACTGAAATTGATAATGATAATGATAATGTTGATATTGATATTGATGTTGATGTTGATGTTGATAATAATAGGTATAAAAATAAAAACGACATAAATAATATTTACAAGAAAAACAAAAACAAAAACAATAGCGATGTCGATGTCAATGTTGATAACGAAGTGACAACGGTTTTGTATGGTGCTACTTCTAGTAAAAATATTACAAATAATTTTATTAATAATAATGATAATGATAATGATAATAACGCTTACTCTAGTTCTAAATCAATAAATAATTATAGTTGTAAAAATAGTACAGAAGATACTGTGCCCAGTGCAATTATTACTACTACAACTAAAATTGAAATTGCTACCAATGCTAATCTCGACAATTTTAACATTGAAGCAACAACAAAAACAACAACAACAACATCAATTGCAACTACCAACTTAAGTGATAATTTAAATAATATAATAAATGAAAATAAACTTAAAAATCGTAGTGTAAATAAATTAAAATCAAATCGTCGGACAATTGATGCAACTGATAAAAAAATGGCAACTGGAGCAACTGAGTCAACTGAATTGAATGCCACTAATATTGTGGCTAACAATTATGTAAATATTAAAAATAATAATAATAATAATGGTAATTGTAAAGTTAATGATAATATAAATAAAATGGCAACTACAACGGAAACGAAGCTAAAATCGTTTTCCACCGATTTTGTGAAGTTTGCGCGAGCGCTACTTCTACATTTCTGGTTGGCATTTGTTGCATTTTGTGATAAAAATACTATTAAGCGTGATGATCCACGATTCGTTGAAGCACGTCGTCAAGACCAACAGCGGCAGCAACAGCAGCAGCAGCAACAAAAAAATCGTGAACACCAACAGCAAGGGCAGCAGCAAGATAATCGTCAGCAACAACAACAACAAGAACAACAACAACGTCCAAAAAAATTTAGATTGTTGACAAATAAAAAATTTATATTTTTATTTATGGTTTGTGCTTTCTTTTCCTGTATTAATCGTATCGATGCCCGTCCAAATGCGATAGGTACATCTAGTAATGCAATACCAGGTAATGAAGCTGTTGCAACTGGTGTAGTCGGTGATGGCGGCAGTCCCAATGCTGGAAATAATATTGGATCAAATTTACCGGTAAGTTAAAACATACATATATTTTTATCAAGTATACATTATTTAATAGTATATATGTATTTGTGAAGAACATAATTATTGACATGTTAATACAGCAATTTTTATAGATTAAATGCTTAATTTGCAACTAAATTCATTCTAACTCTTTAAATGATCTCTTATATTCAATTTCTTAAAATTTAAATAAACGCAAAAAGAACTAAATTAAACTGAACAAAAATTATTGGCAAACATAGATTCTAATGAACTATTCTAACATAATTTCCTCGATCTGGCATTACATTATAATTAGCGTGTTGGTCCCGTTTCTAGCTAAAAACGTTATAGTGCCTTGTATCTTTATAAAATTAATCCATTTTAAACAAAATAAACAGTAAACAAAAACAAAAACAAATCACCGAATCTAAGTGAAAATAATTCCATATTTGCGCAGTCAAGGTAAATCTTATATTGAAATTGTAGAAATAATAGATGGAAACCACAATACCATCTTTGCGCCACCATGTACGCAACAGAATAATAAGAAATATGAAACCCAAAAAAATCCTTAACGCAGATCGCAGTTGGGATTAAGTGAGAGTTTGGTAAGGATATTCATTCCATTACGGTACGAACAACAAGAGTTGTCGTGTTGCTAGAAGAGAACCGTTTATTTTAAAGGGAACCAAGAACCAAGAGAACCGCATTTAATGTTTAGCCTATGCAAATATCTAGGTATTTAAGCAAGGCGGTCAATTTTTGAAACAATATAATATCTTTTGTTCTAATGGCCGCCAAACGGTTTTCAGAAAACTAAACACGGAACTGCAAGAAAAAACCTACAATGTCTGTGAAACATGGGGCTTTTGTATGGGGTTGTATTGTCAGCGATGCAGGTGTCAGTGAATTGCAATTTCTGTATACGTAGTGATTGCAAGGGATCCGTTTCAATGACTACTTATTTTGCAGAAAGAAAAAAAACGATTACGGAAACTACATTACCCCAAAATCATGATTTCCTGTATCTACATGCTTCCTGCTTCCTGCCATGCTCAATGAAGAGTATAAAAAAGAAAATAAATTTCAGTTTTAAAAATAATCATTATTACATAATACTAACTAAACTTGTCAGATCTATATTTCTTTGTTTAATATATTTCGATTCAACAAATTTTTCGTGATTAGATTCTATATTGAAAAGTTTTTTAATAGTCTTCAAAAAATTGTAGTAAATGAAATTATAGTTTAAGTATGAGTAGTACTTTACGTTTGTTTAATCCTTTTATGCGGTAAGCAGTACTGTTACTTTATAAAACATATTGGTATGATTACTAACAAAAGTTTTAATGATTTTAACTTATGTTTCGTTTTAATATAAACACAGCACGTGAATTTGTTAATAAAAGTTTTGCAGAGAATTAACAAAACTTCAGAAAAATATGCGAACATAAAAGTTAAGTACAGCTTTTGGTCAGTTGGTTCAGGTGTGCTGACTCTGAGCTTGAAATTTGGCAGGGCACATGTTCGATTCCTGGTAGGTGCAATCTCAAAAAATTATTTACGAATAATTAAATACAAGAATTATTTCCAAGACCACTCCCATGATGGGTATTTGACAATACTCGAAACAGCTGTATGGTTAGCCAAAAATTTAATCAATTAAAATAATATAAAATGAATTTTTGTTGTTATAGGTCACTATTGTTCTAAAAATTTCCTTATATTTTTACTATATATTTTCACACTAGTTCACTTGCATAAATCTTATGCATACTCAATTGCAATTAAATAGCGATATAAATGCCTTTGAATCTTAAATGGCCAAAAAGGCAAATTTCTTTACAATAGAAAAATGAACTCATGACACCCATCAATAAAAATTTCTTTGACTTTCCTAACACATTTGATTGTTTTTATTGTTTTTAAATCATTTAAATATTGAATTGATGCTGTCAAACTATCTATCACTCCCCTACCATTGCCTACCATTGCATAAAAATTCTTTTATTTTTCATACATAGTATTTAAAAACAATTTACTCTTCCGTAATTGATTGTAAATAATTATTATTAAATGAGCAAACACAAACTCAATTAAATTGAATTAAATTGAATCGCATCGACGCAAACTGAACGTACTAAATTGTTGTATTGAAACACTTCTTTCACTTGAACTTGACAAAAAATGCTACACAAACTACAAATAGAAAAGCAAATACATTACGTCCAGCTATTATATATAAAAAATAAAAGTAGTAAAAAATAATTAAAAAAATAAAATATAAAAGTAATAAAAATAAACTGTCAATTAAATGGCAACACTTCCACTAACACTAACAGATGCGCCTGATATTCTGTATTGAAGTTATAAGTAAAACTGCTTAAAATAAATATATAATAATTTTTTGCTGTAGAATTGTGTGTCAAGGTAATTCATTTATTTTATTTTTTTAATTATTTTTAGTTATATTAAATATTTAAACAAGAGAAACACTATTAGTCTTGGTATGTGTGTAAAATCAAGTGTTATTTAATTATAAATTTTTATTTATAAGTATATCTTTAAATTTTTTTTTAATTTTGACTTGAAGGTATAACTTTTAAAATAATAAAATTGCTCCATTATCCATTATCTGCTGAAAACAATTAAAAGTATCTTTAACAGGAGTTTCATCAACATTATTATTATATTTTTTTTGTTTTACAAAAGCTGTAAAACTATTGTCTTATCGCAAATAAGTAAAAATAGCTTTCTAAAATTGCTGTTTAGTCGATGCATTTAACTTAGAATACTTTAATTGTGTATCATTATAACACATTGTATATGTATATTATACGAAAACGTAGAAAGAATAAAAAACAGATTCCAATGTGGTTTTCAAAGTCAGTGCTGGTGGTATATAAATTAAACATCAGAAAATCTGTATGTCATCTCAACTCAAGTGTAGTGTTTTCCAGACGGACGTACTTGCAAAAGTAACCAATCGCGACTACACATACAAACACAATATCTATAATTTATAGGGTGATATGGCTGACGCAAATATTGTCTTATTTCAGCCAAAACCTCTTAACGTGAATTTTAAAACTTGTAGCATCGGTTTCTACTCCCTTCATGTAATTAAAAGAGATAAAATAAAATACCTTCAAACAGCAGGTCGTAAATGGAAAAGTCTTCCACGTGGATATATTACGGCGTGGATATATTCTCACGACAAAAAAGAGTCTGACAGTAGTCATTACTGGTTTCTGGGCCTTTGAAGAACTTGCAGTCATAATTTTCACTATTACAGCTTCGATAATCTAGAAAAAAAATGTAACTAATTTTCAGTTTTGATGTGGATGCCCAGTATTTGGAAGCTATTTTAGGTTAACCTTTTCGATCTGCAGAGGTGGCGCTGCAACACAGTCTCAAAATAACTAATACAATATAAACACATATCCTCATCACTCAGTTGGTAACGAGTAACAATCTAGTAATCATATTATTGAATATGACCGATAATTAATTAATATATAAAGAAAATTAAAATAACAAAAATAAGTAAATAAATATTATGTTCGATCATATAAAGCAATTTCATCCAACACAAATTTTTTACAATATCTAGTTTGATATCTATTATTGGAACACAAGTTTTATATATCTTAAATATATTAAAAGCTATCGTCTTTATAAAACACTTTTTAGGTTTTATAAAGTTGTTGTTACTCTTCTAAGGAATCTCGCTCGACTTAAGATTATCTAACAGACGAAAAGTACACTATGCCACTATGTTAGAATGAAGCTGTAAATTAATTTAATTCAGAATTGTTTTTGTTGTGAAAAAATCAAATGGTGCAATTATCATATAAACATATAAAGCGAAGCATTTATCCATGGCTTACGGCAGGAAGAATATCCCTGTAATAATAGTTGACAATGTGGTTACTATATAATATTTAGATAAACATTAATAGATTAGACAAAATGAGAGGGGTCCTGAGTTACAGATTTACTTCTAAATTAAAAATCTTAAGTAAAATATTTCTAAATAACTTTATATATTGCTCTAAATTTTTTTTAATCGAAATAACAATTATGGTATGAGTTACTATATATGTCTGTATCGTCTGCGTCTCTCAAGTTTAACAAAGGAATATTATGTGAATTTAAGATCTCAAGACCAATAAAATTTTTCTGTGTCTTAATTTTGACCATGAATCATATTTTCACACATTATCCAATGCATGGTTTTACTTTAAGTAACACGTAAATCAGAAACATATAAGAAGACTAATACCGCAATACTCGAAACAGCTATATGGTTAGCCAAAAATTCAATTAATTAAAATAATATAAAATGAATTTTTGTTGTTGTAGTTATAAACAACTTTTAATTATTAACATCATTGAAAATAATTAAATTGGAGTAATCTGATTAATTGATTCATTTGATTGCTGCATCAATCCATATCATTGGAACTGTTTTTATATTTATTTAATAATATTTTTTACTCTCTTTAAGTACATATAAAGTTGTTTGTTTTTGTGCAAAAATTAATTTACAAAGATCAGTTTCATATTACTAATTACAAAAGATTTATCTATGAAAAAATTTAGTTTTGTAAAAATTATTTAAAATGTTTGTTTTGAATAATTACAAAAATGCTGCAGTAATGAATCTACAATTAAATTTTTATTATTTTTTAAATGACAAATCACTTTTTTTTTATTTTGTGCGCAATTTAAGATAAAATCTACAAAAATAGTTAGATTTGGATTTGTTGATATCTAAACATGTTTCACATAAATTTATGCAAGCCTCGTGTAAAAAAATGATGCATAGCAACACTGTTATATGAGCTGTAACATCATATGGCAAATATGTCCGATGTAATAAGAATCAAGTTATATCGGCATTTATGGTAATATGAAAAGCTTTTGCAAATGATTCGAGGAACCCGTGATTTTGGAATCTCCTTCAATCTCGATTTTTTTATTCCAAATAAAAGTCAAGACATGTATATATACTAGTAAAA